ACCTCTGCTCGTTTATATCCGCTGCAGGTTTAGGGGTTTATGGTCTTAGGGCTTTAGGGGTTTAGGGTCTTAGGGGTTTATGGCTTTAGGGGTTTAGGGCTTTAGGGTGCTAAGGTTTAGGGTTTTACAGTTTAAGGTCTTAGGGTTTAGGGTTTTAGGGTTTAGGGTCTTAGGGTAGGGTTTATTATCTAAGTGTTTTAGGGTTTAGGGTTTAGGGATTTAGGGTCTTAGGGTCTTAGGGTTTTAGGGTTTTAGGGGTTAGGGGGTTCGGGTCTTAGGGTTTAGGGTTTTGGGGTTAAGGGTTCAGGGTTTTGGGGTTTAGGGGTTTAGAGTTTAGGGCCCAAAGCTTCACCACAAAGCTCAAACCCTGAGGTGGGTAAGGGCTGAGAAAGTTCGGGACTCATAACTACAAGGTTTTTTGAACCACAGGCCTTGCACCCCTAAAAACCTGAACCCTGAACCCTAAAACCTAAACCCTAAAACCCTAAACCCTAATTCCAAAGTCCTAAAATCTCAACACTGAAACCCTAAACCCTAGACCCAGATGGTCAAATGACTCGCTTCATGAGGTCGCCGCTGGATCTTCGCGAAAAGTGGGAACACATGATAAAACCTCCGAATCCTACTCCCAACGGTTTAGGGTTTTTCCTTTAGGCTTTAGGGTGCAGGGTTTGCCTCCACAACGGTTGAGGGTTTAGGGTTTAGGCTTTAGGGGTTCAGGGATTCTAAGGCCCAGTCCTACTACCTGTAGTCTCCATTCTAGTTCCTTTTTGGGGTTGCCTTATAGGATCCTGAATACAAAGTTGGTTAAACAAGGGAACTACAATGGAGACTAGAGGTAGTCCTATAGTTCCAGTCATACTCCTGCTCTTTCTCCTACTAGGGGCAATATAATTCAAATAGGGCTTTGGGGGCTCCTTATGATAACTCTAGTATACTATACCCCCAAACCCTATTCTAATTATTAAGGCCCCTACATCAATCCCCTATAGTAGCCCTTATAGAACCCTATAATAAGGAACCCTTTAAAGGAACCCCCCAAACCCTACTCTGATTATTAAGGCCCCTATATTTACTATACTAAGGAACCCCCAAAATAGGATACTCATCTTCCGGCTGTAGAGTTCGGGTTTAGAGTTTAAGGGTTTGGGGTTTAGGGTTTTGGGCAGGGGTTGATGGTTGAGGGTTTAGGGTTATTTAGGGGTTTAGGCTTTTGGGTTTAGGGTGATTTAAAACTTCATGGGTCAAAGCCCTATCGAAAGTCTAGAAGCCCCCACAGTCTTTGCAAGCGCAACAGCCAGGCTTCGACCGAGGGGAGCACCAGATGGGCACCCAATGCGCGGCGATACCCGGCCTGAAGGAATGAACAAAAACAGAACTCCGCAGCCTAAGCTCGTGTCCTTGGCAAATCCCTTTTCTTGCTGGAGTTCCTTGAGGATTTTAGCCGCTTCATGCATAGCATTCCGGAATTTCGCTTTAGGTCGCTTTAATGCGAGAGCTTTCGGGCTGAAGATCTTTCGGCCTGGGTGCCATGCTTCTGCGCTGCTCAGGACACTCTTGCACCCCAAGCCGTATACGCAAACCCTAAACCCTAAACCCCTAAACCCTAAACCCTAATTCCAACGCGAGCACCTGGTGTCTGGCCTGGGATCTGACGCCTCGACTTGGGTTTCGGGCTTAGGGCAATGTAGGGGCCTTAATAATCAGAGTAGGGTTTGGGGGGTTCCTTTAAAGGGTTCCTTATTATAGGGTTCTATAAGGGCTACTATAGGGGATTGATGTAGGGGCCTTAATGATTAGAATGGGGTTTTGGGGTATAGTATACTATAAATATGATAAGGAACCCCCAAAATAGTATAGGTAATTGTTACCCATAGGCCCCATAGTAGTTCCTTGTTGTGGCTCATATTTAGGATCCTATTAGGTAGTCCCAAAAAGGAACTACGACGGGGCCTATGAGTAGGGCCCCTAAATTATCGGGCTTGGAGTTTAGGCAATAGGGCTGATCTTTCGCTGCCGGTAGCGGCGTCACAGCAGCCACAACGCGACACCTGGAGCCCTGAACGCCAAAACCAAAACACAAACTCTGCGGGTTCAAAGTACCCAATTAGGGTTTAGGGTTTAGGAGTTTAGGGGTTTAAGGTTTAAAGTGGTTTAGGATTTAAGGTTTTAAGGTTTGGGCCAGGAATTGTTTTGGGAATTATTTTTTCTTTTTTGGTGAATTCTTTTTTTTTTCAGGGTTTGGGGCTTAGTTCTGTATTTTACTAGGAAATATTTCATTTTCTTTTTATTTGAAGAGGAAAACCTGCATTTTTCTATTTTTCGCAATTTTTTTTTATATTTTCGTAGAAAAACCTGAATTTCTGTATTTTCATAGGAAAATCTGGATTATGTTTTAATTTCACAGACGAAACCTTAATTTTCTCTATATTTTAA